TTTCATACAAGGGACAAGTAACAAACATACACAGTTACACACATACTTTAATTTATCGACTACACAATTACTCAAAGTACACATAAAATGTCTCCAAAGTAAGAGAACACCAAATAGAATTGAAAAAGATTTTACAGGGGGTTTCTATCTAAAAAAAATGATTTCAAATATTTATGTAGCATTAAAATGATTCTGTACTAAATTGTTTCATATGTTTGTGCACTATTTTTGCAACCAGGAAATCATCAAGTCAACTGAGAGAAACTATTCCATTTTGTATCAGAACCAAAAATCAAAACTAAGTAGATGAATGAAACATAAAATATATTTTTTCATACAAAATCAAATTTACTGTAAAATCATTAGTACGTGTCATGTTTGGTTGTATAGACAGAATAATACAAGTATGCCTTACTATACATCATGAAAAACACAAGTAAATCATATTACATAAATGTATTTGGTTTCAAAATTCAACATCATAAATTGTACACAGCAATTCCTGTCGTATTATCACGTTTATAGTGTTCATGTCATATATTTCAAATAACAAAAGGACTTTTTTTTTAATGCAATAATCCGTATGCAAACACATCCATATGTTTATTTAACCGGAATCCCTTTCTGGAAGCATATAAATTTCTATAAAATCATGTAATCAGAACAAGTCGGGGTTGAAACAAATATATATATATATATATATATATATTTTACTAAGTTATGAAACTTTAGATTGTAATCTCATAAAATCAACCTTTCATAATCAACAAATATAAGAAAATCAATATCAAAAAAACCTTTAAACTTGTCAAATGAAATTGCATTATATATATATATATATATATATATACACATAGACATTCCATCTTTATAAACATGGTCAGGTGTACAAATTTGTAAAATCGTGTTTATATGTAGAATGGAGTTACTATTAAAAAAATTAATTTTATTTCACAAAAATTATGAAATTTCCAGAAAAATAAATTATATATGTATATATATATATATATATATATATATAAACACGAAAATACATACACTGTAGCTGTCCTTTGATCATGATATTATCATAATTTCCATTTTTTGATGGAATATGTATGTATGATTGAAAATTGAATATGATATTTTATTCAGGGTTTTGAATGAATTTATACATAAAATCTATAAACATAGATGATTTGTATGAATTTTGTAATAATCCCAAAGTTTATTATGATGATATGGCTTAAAATACTTTGTTTACTATTTAATTCAAAATTTCATTTTTGTCTATGGTCTGTAGATTGCATCATGTTTCTTTGAAGAATTTCGTATATATATATTTTGCTGAGTATGAACTTGGTTTGCATCTGAAATTTTCACAACTCAAAAATTGGCATTGGTTTTATATTTATTTTTCCATAAAACATACTGACAGACGTTACTGAAATAATAGGAGTACAAGTAATTTATATTTTGTATAAATTCAGGTTATGAAAGAGAAATGAACTTTCTGTACGCTTCTGAATTATTCAGCACAAAATTTACACCTTAAAACTTGGTGATGAAGATAGAGCAAAGTACAATAAGCTCACATTTTTATTTACGAATTTGTTCTGAAACCTTCATGTTTGAAAGTGACATATTTTGTTTATCATAATTTTCATATTTCCAATTGCAATAAGTTGATTGTGCAAAAGCTTTGGCCATTCTAACACCAAACCCCTTGTCTTTGCCATAAGCTCTATTCTGATAGCAGATGTGACACAAGAAGCTAAAGTATACTCACAACCACTTATTCTTTCATTTTGCAAACACCATCCATCATGATGTTTTAACCTTTGAAGCAAAAAATTACGCAAGCTTTGCACTAAATATTCCACCTCTTGAGAAGACTCCAAACAAAACAAAATTAAATAAAATTAAAACTCATAAAATTCTGTTCAAGTACTCTGTAGAGCTCACCACAAAACCTCGTCCTTTCCAATACTGCTCGGGAGTTTAATTTTCCACCTAACGTAGAGAAGGAAACGTCAATATAAATGGGAAATCTGCAAGGTTAGAATAAAAAAGAGAAAAAGAGATCATCTTCACATCAAGTACCAAGTGGAAATCGTATTTTTGCCTATTTTTGGCAGTGGCGTATGCCATCACTGTCCACACAAGAATAAATTCAATGCTAAAAGCATCAACTGGGAACGTGGGAACATTGCCTAACGACACAAAACCGAAAGCTGGGGCACCACTTTAGCCTTCACTCTGAGGTTGTGTGCAGTTTTAGGGTTTTACCTCAAACTAACATTATGTAAACCCACACTGTGAATAGGATACTCCTCTGCTGACGTGTGAATCCATGCCATGTCATCCATTTCGTGGGGTGATCGCTTGCCGGGAAGGGCGGGAAATAAGTGGGTTCCCTTTTGGCCGGTCAGAGTGCGATAATTGGGTCTGTATTGAGGGGGTTTAGAAGTTTGTGTCATAGAGACACGTGTCTCAACGCGATTGACCAAATTTTATTTTATTTTATTTTATTTCAATTTCCCAGTGGTAAATCTTTAGACATGCACAATGTTTCCTAGCTTGTACATCCTTCATAAAAAGAAAGAAAGAAAGAAAGAATACAGAATAGAGAAACACACCAAAAAGTATTCCTACGTAAATACATACATACAGGGTGTTTTGTTTTATGTTTGATGATTTAGCATTTGGTTGTTCCAATTTTATCACTACTGCAGTCAGGTTACAAGAGATTGGGTTCATACTACTACATTTTTCAGCACAAAGTTTGCCCCCATTCTCATTATGCATCAAACTGTGCAAAATGGGCACCAGAATTTAGTCATTGGGCTTGGGAAGAGGATCACCATTGCCACCACCACCACAGCTTTGATTCCGAGATTGATCAAAACCCTAACAACACTGAGAAAGGGCCATGGAAAAGTGGTTAAGATGCCTCTCTTGTTCACTAAGGGGCTCATCACTGAGTCAGTTTGAAAGAGTCTTCACACTTAGTGCAAGGGATGGAAACAATACAAGAAGAATGATATTGAAGAGTGTGACAAACATCAGGCTACAACTGTCAGGCTTCTATCATTGATGAGACTCATCACTTGGGAATCTCTTCTCCCCTCAAAATTGCTCACCAACACAAACAATGAATTGGGTATGTGAACGAGAGTGTGAGAAGGAAAGGAATCCAAGAGAGAAGGCAAGGGAAATGAAATGGGGGAAGAGGAGAAGGAAAAGGCTTTGACAATATATTTGTCTCCCAACTTCTCGTACAATTTCTTTGAAACTTTTCAAAGGAATTCCAAAGCATGTGGCCATTGGGCAAAGATTAATGTAGTTAAAGAACATGGGAGCCCGATTATGTGTGTGTGTGTTTTCTGTTATATGTAGGGACCCACCGCCACCACAAATCAAATGGATGATTCTCATACCTGAAAAACAAACTTAACGAACTTGACTTTTGAAAATACGGGTGCGTTTTTTTTGTTTTTTGTTTAATGTTTTCTTCAGTTGGCTGGGGTTGTTGATTTTCTTTGTTCTTATTAGTTCTTTTTATTTTTTGTTGCCTGCCTGCCCCCCTCTTGTCACATGACATGAGCATGAATCTGGGAATTGTTTGAGAACTTGTCACATGTCCAGCCTCTCTCAACATCCGAGCCACTGATCACAAAAAAAATTCCCTTGGGATGGACAGTACCCACTGTTGTGCTATCAAATTACAACTTTGCCCCCTTCAAAGACAAAGTCACATACTAAAGCTATGAGCCATGTTGGCATATATGTACATGTGTGTGTGTATAAACAATTGTTTACATGAATGAATATCTAACTGGTCAGGCATTGTTTTTTTACTCTGAAAGTGCCCAATTCAAGAAACTGGCTACCAGTGCTTTGCCCATGAGCTTGTGCCCTGGGGGAAGTGCAATAGTAAATGTTAAAGCCTGAGCATCAGCAGGAGCTTCTAGGCAAAAGTGGGTTTCTTCCAAGGAACCCCAATTCATGTGCAGCATGAAAAAAGAGAGGCGAGAAAAATCTAAAAAAGGAAGAAAACTTGATATATAAATATGTGTGTATGTGTGTGTGTTAGTGTGTATATGTACTTCCAACCCAATCCTGCAAAATTCAACAAAGACAAGTCTGAGGTGGGAAAAAGCAGAGAGACTGGGGTACCAAAAGAGTAAAGGAAAGCTCTTCCTTGCTTTGCTGTCATGCCTCCCCCAAAACTCTCTCAGCTACCATGGCAGACTTTGCTGCTGCTGCTGCAGGAGAAGAACAAAAGGACCCATCAAGTTGTTGAGATTCCACTATGTTGCCTCATTCAGAAAACTTAAGCACTTGACTCCTTTTGGCAGCATGTCACCAACCTTGGAGCAATTCCAGCATTTCCAACTAATCTGCCTCGTTAAATTCAACATATTGGAGTTGTAGGTAGAAAAAGAAGGTCTCATCTGCAATTAGTGGGTCAAGCATTATTCAACCTTAATGGACTGGCTCTTTCATTTTTTTTCCATTTTATTATTATTATTATTTTTTCTCCTCCTCCTCCTCCGATGGACACCATCCTTGTGGGTTTCAGAGGTTCCCTGTGGATGACCATGCAAGCGATTAGCGTTATTCCTAGGGTAGGTATCAGAGGCAGCAAGAATCAAATTATTGGTGTAGAAAAAGAGGGTTCTTTTTGGTGTTCGAAGATCGAACGAGCCTTGAGATGTGTGGTACATCTCCTTTCACTTGTGGAGAAAGTGAGGAGCAGGTGCTGATGACAAAAGAGAGGTTTACGAGATCAAACGGATGTGACCAATTCCGATTTCAGTTCACCCACATTGTATCCTCTACTTGTGGGATTGTCCACAGGACACTTGACCATATAGCTGGGATACAAATCCTCCTAGACGAGGCAGAAATCACTTTGAAATCGCTTAATTCTTCTGAAATGGTGGAATAAGGCGCACCCGCAGCGGTTTTCTTCCGTCTCACCAAGAAAAAATTGCAAATATAAAATATTATTCAGGTCAATTGAACAGAAAACACGGCGAAAGCTCATAGAGACAATCACTTCAATTTATCAAATCAGTTCATACAAGCGGCCCACGGACTTGAGATAAGCAGATATTGAAGTCCAATACAATTCTGGCTGGTGAAATCAACTTCATCATCTTCACTGCCACTCCAGCTACAAATGCTAGATCCCAAAACCTGAGCCAGAGCTAGAGAGTTTACACCCCCGAGCTATTCACTGAGTGGATCTTCTGTTTACAATATCTAGTATCTCAATCCTCCAATATCCATGTCAATACTGGCTTGACAGGGGAGGTGGTTTGAAATGTTGCAAATCAATAGCACACATTTTTGTGTGCTTAGCTTGGTGAGTTCAGAGAGACCTAGTGCAACCTTAATGAGGATTGCAATCTGCGGTGTGCTTCAGTTCGCACATTCAGCAGCAACGACAAGTTAACATCATAATCCAGAACTGCTTCTTGCGCGTGAAGTACTCAACCTGCGCACCCCAATTTATGCCTGCGCCTAAAAAATGTAACAGTGAACATCCCGAAGGCAGAGGATTGCCGTCGGAGATGAACCATCTAGCTCTTTCAATTAGATGTGACGCTTGGATTTGCAATCCGACAGGCAAGAATACTGTGGAGTAATGCGAAATTGGTGCAGTTTTGCACCTCTCTTCTGAAGACTCATAGCCTTTGAAGATGGTGCGTGAACCATAACCATGAGTGTTTCTTTTGCACTTGCTCTCCTACTCAATCATCTTCAGAGTCGTCCACTGTGTGAGAAGGGCGCCAAAGCCACTTGCGACAATTCTTAGCGCCACAGTGACAAATAATGTGTTTCGAGGTATTTTCTTGGTCATTTTCCAGATTTCGTGCCTGCAGTTTCCCGGCTGCATGGAGGTTGTGCCCATCGTGTGGTTCATGCAATCCGTAATTGTAATCATACGAGAGCTCCTCTCCAGGCTCAATGTCACGCATGGCATACATGCCAATGTGTGAAAGCCACTTATACGTAGTCTCTACATATACGCGATATATTTTCAGATTTGGATCACAACTACAGCAGAGCACACAAACAGTATGTTAGCATCTCGGGTAGTTGCCAGATTCATTACCAAGCACATGTAATCATGGGAAGCTTTTAAACGTAGATGACCGAGATCGCCGATGCATCGGCTGAGCTTGTGAGCTTCACACCAATGAGCTTCATATACACCGAAGGACGTGCCTGAGCATCAAGGTATTGTTGATGAATACCTGTGGTTGATAAAGCGAGCAACATTGGATGCATAAAACCCATCGAGTGTAAAGTCAGGCGTCTTCTTTGATTCCGGGTAGTCCAAATCATATAGATAGCTGGTCCAATAAACATATTTAGTTCATGAGTAGGTGGAGAGGAGCCAAATATGACGGTTGCCAGAATAACAAGCAACCACATCACACTGAACCCATGCTCCTGCACCACGGAAAACTGACAGAGAAACAAGTTTTATGGCACAAACACCCTCAGAAATTTCCAAACATTTAAGCAAATACGTTAAACCGAATCGCGAAAATTTGAAATTAACCTTATAACTTCAATTTTAAACACAATGCAACAGGTAATATACCAAGTTCGAGTAAACCGGTAAGGTCCCCCGATCTCAATATTACTCCAGAGTTTCATCTAAAAAATTTGGTGGGTATTCATCACCGGAACAGCGGACCAAGAGACTTAAAACAACTGACAAGATGAGAGCTACAAAGATAACTGCTGTTTCAAACGCAATCATAAAAGTGAAACGTTTAGAATACCAACCTTCGCTTGAGTGCATCATAATAAGAGCCATATCTTTGAGCTTGATCTTGAGTCAACATCTCTCCGACATACTCGATCACAAATCGACCCCTGCTTCCAAAACCCTTCGAATGCTCAGAAAGCCTTCTGTACACATAGGTTTGTTGCAGCAGTAGACTGCAAGGTGAACCACTTAAAGCTAGGGGGGAAAAAGCTCACCTGGGGATTGCGACCAGTGTGCGGACAGCCCATCCCTTGTTGACAGTCTTGTAAAGTTCAATGGGAGTGCTCAATCCCTTCTGCATTTCCTTATTAATGCAGTGTTCACCACACCCACACCGTTCATTACACTCCACAAGCTCATTGTAATCTGTCCCGACCTGTTTCCAGGTGTAAATATATATTAGATGCCTGGTATTTTAAGAACATGATAGAGGACCACAAAATTGTCCAATGATGGTTAGACTTAAATATCACTTTGATGACTAAGAATGTCAGATCAAACCCAAGACATGGAGCGAAAATAATTCATTTGATATGAATGGCCTCCCTTGGCCATAAATTCTCAAGTACGTATTGATAACTATTTTCTGTTTTAAAATACTTGTAAAAAGGTGTGGCATCAAACACCGACGTTCTTCCTCGCCTTATTTGCAACACAGCTGGAAACTCACCACCAGCCGTCGATATTTATCATAAGGTAGACGTCCATACATCCGCTCCTTTAGCCAGTCCTCGCGAAAGTCATCCTCGCGTCTTTCAAATGGTATATGTATGGACATGGGAGCTGAGGGATCATCGGGGTCATGCACGACACATCCTTCACAAGCTTTTGCTTGTCTCAACAAAAGTGGATGTGAGCACTCGTTACTTCCCAATGGGATTCCTTGGTATCTGCAAAGAAATAACGAAGTAGAACAACGTTAAAAATTGCACGCGATCGGTAGGATCACTGTCCAAACAGCATGCAAAGTTTTGAACCGTCACTACTTGTGAAGGGATTTCAAAAGCTGCCAGAAGAGAAGCCTTATAAAAAGTGTAACCATACTTATAAGTTTTGCACATTCAAAGTTGGAACCAACGTCACAAGCCTCAACCTTACTTTGAAGATAGAGCAGCCATAAGAGCATTTCAGCCTTAAGAAGAGGAATAAACCTGGATTTTGTTATGTACTCTTTCAGATATGGTGGAGGATCACTGTCCACATCATTAGTACACGGCACGGGAATGGGCTCAACGCCGCCTGAAAAGTCAGGACGTAGAAGGTTCTTTCCCAAGTAAGGTGGCATTGAAAACAGAGGCTTTGGCTGACTGCAACACCAGCACAGAACTTCAACCCAAACCGCAAAAGTTGTTTCACAAAAAAGTAATCAACATTACATTCATGTAGATGTCCTTGATTACTGATAAACTCTTCGACGCATTCAATGATGACTACTTAGTTACTGACCAAATGATGATGGTGCAAGTATGGTTCAATAACAAGAGAGTTCATGCCTTGAAAATATGACAGTCTTCAAGAAAATCAGAGATGGCTGCATTGTGTCTATTGTGAAATACATGACGCGTATTTCAAACAGATGGAGATTAAATAATGAGCTCCGAACGGTTAAGCAACTGGGTACAACGTTAATAGTCTTACCTGTCAGGGGTGTGAACTCGTTTCGTGCGCGCTACACCTGATTCAGAACCATTTGATGTGTTCCGTTGAAGAATCTGATCCTGACCAGTAGCTCCATGAGGATAATACTCTCCTTCGCTACTTTCAATATCAATGACGTCATCGGCACCACCCGAAGTCCTCTCCCCCAATTTCGAATTAGAGCCAGTTACTAATGCAGGAGACGGACCTTTCTTACGCCTCTTCCTCTTCTTGCTCTCTTTCTGTGGTTTTGTATCAACAACGTCGTTGAAATGCCGATGGTCCAAGCAGGCAACCGGTTTCACCAGGCCCTCCCACATCCGCAATTTGCCATAAACCGACAGCTTGTCAGCACAAGGGTAGTGATAATTCTTCTTGCAGCTTCCAACTCGACATCGAAGGGTTGCTCCGAAAAGGCCACAATCTGGATCCGAGCATTTCTTCGTCCAAGAAACACAAAGTAGAAAATAAATTGAACAATCAGATTTAGACAACACGTGACTTGACCAGTATGAATATAGATTACATACCGATTTAAAAACCAGAATTCATTCATGAGTATTCATAAGTATTCATGGGTACTGCATCGCAGCACTAGGATGTCAAAGCCTCTTACAAATTTTCTTGACCGTCGCATGGCATCCCACAAGTTATTAATACGCCAGGGATGCTTATCATCTTCGTAAACCTGTTTGCATCAAAGTTCATGGTAGCTATCAATATCTCGTCTGGAAAGAAATTAATGCAATTTCTTCACTCTAAAAACCTCCAAACTGAAACAGTTTCCTAAAATACACAAACGTGCAAAAGAGCACAGCACCTCTGCAGACCAGAGACCGCAAAGCTTGTGAACCTTGCCGCTCCAAGGTCGGTCGGTAGATTTCCCGCTTTTGCAGGCAAGAATCGTTACTTTTCGCCTGTAAGAAACAAATATCATTACAATCCAATTCTATTGAATTCAATAGCCTCACTTTTAAAGGTGGGTTGTGTCCCACGATACAAGTGAAGAAGCAAAACTGAGATTCCAACGCCAACTATGTGAAAAGAGACATCAAATCACACGTTTAAGAAAACAAGCAGTGATGATGATGAGAAGCCCAGAAAATGAAGAGCTTACTGCCTTCCCTCGGAGGTGCAAGGGCAACCTAGTGAGGGATTCCCGCAGCACCAAGAGTACCATGCGCCCAAAGAAAGAGATGGGCCTCTCTCGCACAGATCACATAGAATACCGGGAGACCAGTCAGGTGATATCTTCTCTACATGGTTCCCCTCAGAGTGAGCCTTCCTGTAGTCAGCTGAGAGCGTACTAGCCTCATCTTCACTATCTTCTGCCGTCGACAACGCGTGCTCTTCTACTTCTGTTGTTGAAACGCGTAAGACCTCTGGAATCGACTCAGCGGGAGGACGGTACTTCGGCGGAAACTCTATTACTGTCTCAATACGGCCTCTGCTGCATTCCGCTTTCGCCACAACTTCTTCTCCATTGGCTTTCGAAGAGGCCGAGTTCAGGACGTCAAAGGGCACTTTTCTTCTCTCTGATTCCTTTCCTTCTCCAACCCCAATGTGAGAATCCTTAACAGGCGGTGAAGTCTCTGTAAGGTCTACAACTAGTGTCACCTTCGAAGTATCAAGGTCTTCTTTCTCAGTGACCTACACCAACTCCAGTGTTATTTAAGGGAAACTCTGAAAAAACGAATGGCTCGACGAAAGCAACATATGAAAAACGCTATTGTTGCTACAAACAAACAAATCTCTACAATGGGCAAGCCTTTTGTTATGTCTTGAAGGATTCAGAAGGAAGGTTCAGGGCAGTGCAAGGCCAGGGAGAGTGGTACAAGGAAAGGGAGGTCGCTACTCATAGAAGCAGAAAAAATCACTTAGTCTTCTAATCCGAACTACAGCTAACATGTGTACCACACTATGAACCCAGATAATAAACAATGGCATTCAAAAAGCAGGTTTGAAAGTTGGCTTCAATACCTTCGTCACTTTCATTATGTGCTGCTTGTTTTTCAGCGCTTGACATTTCTTGCATAACGGACGCAACTCTTTCAGCGGAGTACGTATGTCGTCTTCAGAGTCGCTGAGATCTACAACTAGAATCTCTCTTCCATTTGAATCAGTCTCTTTCCTCTCTTTTGTGACGGTGGAGTTAACCACCACCCGCTGAGTGCTGGATGACGGCGGGGCTGAAGTTTGTCCATTCTGGACTCCACCATCTGGAGGCGAGTAGACCACGTTTTCCGACTTAATTTCATGGAGTCCTGTTGAATGAGGCAAGCCTTCATGGGGAGCTTGCGGTAATCGATCTCGACGATGAGCAGTGCCGTTCGACTTGTACTCATTACCATTTCCATTTTCATGTGAAGCTGCCTCACCAGAAGAAGAGCTTGTGTACTCAGTTTCCGAACTAAAATCACTGAACGTTACTGCACGCGATTGTCTGCTGCGACCATTAGCTACCTCAGCCGGGAGTTTCACTAGTCGTGACGATTCAGAAGTGGATTGGTTCTGCGTGCTCCCTAGGCTGGGACCAGCCTTCAAGGGTGCTTTGGGATTCATCATAATTACTAGAGGTTGGGAAACTGTGAACCAGACTGGCGTAGAATATCTCCGAGTTGACAGTGAATCCTGTCATCTAAAGAATAAGATTTCTCTGCCAACCCACTGCTGCATTGTGTAAAAAGAGTATACCTGCAAGCTGAATACAACTTCAAATTAGAAAATGAATTAGAACTGAAATTCACTATTCCAAGGAAAAACGCACATCAGGAAATCTGCCTACAGGACCAACCCAAAAAGTAATAAAAAGGCCTTGCCAAGTGTCACACGAGGCATAAGGGAAACGTTAAGGAACAAACAATAAAATGAGTGGGTGTTCAGCAAAGAAACATACAACCATATGTGTTCTGAAATAGGGTTAAGAATAAGTATTCCAGTTCTGGAATCAACCCTATTTCTTTCTAAATCCATAACGCTACGTATTCAAGGTGCTTACATTTACAATCCTCTGTGCTAAAAGCACCAATAGTCACCATATTGAGGACCTACTCAAGTATGCACCAACTTCGCCAATGCCATGATATTGATCGAAACAGAGGGTGAGTCAGTTAATTTAAAATAGTTAAGTGCGTAAGCGCACTGTCAAACTTCAGTACCATGACAAATTTTGATGCTTCGAAAGGAACTAGTACTCATCTGGAATTTGAGAATTCCACATTCAAAAAAAAATTCATAACACGAAAACGAACTTTTATAAATTAATACCATAAGTCACTTTTAATGATAAGAAAAGAAAACTTAAGCACCTTCACTACCAGAACCCTTGAACTAGGCGAAGTCTAATATATTGCCACGAATCTTGTCAGAAAATCAGTGTGCTGAAAACCTACAATCACCATCAGTAAGGCATAGTGTCTTGCATATTTTCTAATCATTAAGTTTAACAATCAAGACGAGTATTGGAATATTTAAGACTGAAATTATTAAGTTCAACGATCAAGACGAGTGATGGAATAGAGACTCTAATAAATAAAAACAAATCGTTCTAGCTGTTTTACAATGCCTCTTAAAGCGAAGCTCACATTTTGCAAGATATCACAGTCAAGCCATAGAAGAGAAGAAAACTAAAACAGGACAGTGCCATGTGATCCATAGTACACAAGAAGGAACTGATAGATTACTCAATCGAAATTAATAAGAATGGGTCTTGCAAACTTAGGGCACAGCTATCAAAGCTCACACAATTGTGTGTCATGAAAACCCATAAACACTCTTCGCAATAATCTTCCTCTGCACAGTCAAAAATCTCGCGATTCCGATTCCAAAGAACTAAACCCAAACCCAACATTCGTCGTCCAATACACAACCCAAAAACCTATAGGGTACAAGGACACTTACATGAAAACGATGAATTGTATACTGGCCACAGCGAAAACCAAACCCCGACTGCAGGACCCACACCAATATGTGCTACATTGGCATCATCAGTCTCGACGTTCCCCCTTCTTCCGCCACATTCTCCATCCACCACACCAACAAAATTCCTTTACAATATTAAAAACCCTATTTTTCCATCATCCCCTGTTCTCTCTCCAGCACAACATCACGTTCTTTGACTGAACTCCCGACTTCTCGTGATCGAAAACAAACGAATATCATAGACCTTCACCTCCCAGAGGACTCTACCCCAAACATGTCAGACACAGAAAGAGTCCTCCGTCTCCCCCGTGCCCCCCGTCCCCCTGGTTCATCCCATTGCCACCCTAACGATCCTCATGATCAAAACGAACCCAGTTTACCGTATTGCAAGCCCACTAATCCATACTCCCGTGCAGCTTCAATTACCCATGACGGGATTTGCATACTCGCGACCAGCCGAAGCAACTCTGCTGCAAATTGGATTCTACCGCTTCGGTACATTACTGATCGTTTCCATTAGGTACTGTACCGGGAGACGGACAACTGGTATGAAAGCGTCTCACCGCTACTGCGTTTGATGTGAGGAAGCGAGATGTTGGGAAAATGATGATGGTGATGGCCTACCGCTGAGTTGGTGCAACATTCAATGGAACGTTGGCGTTTGAAGTTGATGACGCCTCTCGCATGAGACTACTTGCTGCGTGGAAAAGTGTAGAGCTTCAGATGCGTGTTTGCGATGTTTCTCTTCGGTTCTGCATAACATTCCGTAGTGATCTGGAAACTGGTCATCTAGGGAGGTTGAGTCAAATAGTCTATATTTTACAGTTGTAATTCACTATGCTAGCAAAAAAAAACTTGTGGGAAAAATGTCAAATCCACTGACAAAAAGTAAATTCTGTACTGATTATATATAGTATAATATTTCACCAAATCATTTGATATTCTTGGACGAGATAATCCGACTTAGGTGGTTAAACGACTGTTCGCGGTTAAATGCTGAGAGAAAACACTTCCAGTTAAGCTGTAATTTTGCAGGAGATGCAGTTGCCATAGTGAATTCGTGGCTTTCACATCGGTAGTTGGTCGCTAGACGACAAGCAATCTAACATTGCAGCTATTTGACTTCGATGTTATAATAAACAACTTTGATAGATTGCATGTGGTAGCAACACCTCAACCAGTCAACAGTTATTCTGTAAAATCCAAAGTGAATAGAATGAACACAGGCCACATTTGGAATTTTTTTAGGTAGCTCACTCCTTGAATCATTTCACGGGAAGCAATTAGGAAAGGGCAGACTTGAATGTGATCGATCTTTAATCAGCCAAGACTTACAGAGATCGATGATTTATCGAAATAGTTTGACAGAGCAGTAAAACAAGAAAGGCCGTTTCTAGGTTGGGCTGCAGTTTGGTTGAGCAACCCAAAGTAGTAGAGGCCTTTGACCCTCCCCGTTACTCCACACAATCAGTCAATCAATTCACTGCCCAACGTGAAAATGGCATTGAAATCTGTACAATTGGAAAGAATCAGAGAAAACTTATCACACAGATGAATACGGCAAAAAAAAAAAAACAAAAACACAAAAAAAAAACAAACAAACAAACAAAAAGCTACTACTCCATCACAAAGTACACCAACAAATTGACAATTATTTAAAAGTTATAACCTGATAAATCTCAGACTCCAACACATAGGCAATCTCCTTGATTGATGAGGAATTCCGCAGACAATCGCTTGTTCAGTTTATCCACTTACATTTGGAATCACTTGGTGGAGAAATTTCATCGTAGTTCAAAGGTACGAAATAGAAGGGCAACCCCAACCATAAGACATGTGATTTCGTCCACGGGCTATGAGAAGATCTAGTAGAGCGTCTTCAAACTTCCGCAAAGACTGCTTAATAGCTAACACAACTGTTACATAAAACACATCAGGGATAAACCGACGGGATAAATCAGAGGAGACAAATTTGATCTCTGATTAGCTGCACCTCTCATTGTTTTCATCAAAAGTGAAGCAAAAGTTGAGTTATGCAGCGATTCACAATGCCTTAACAGAACCAGGTTTACAGATTCACATGACATTAACAGCACATATGATTCACTTCTACATCAAAAAAAATATCATATTTTCCGTGACAACAGCACGGGTTCAACTAGTTCCGCTTTATCCTTAGGGTTCTATAGGAGTTTTCTTCCTATTCGGATGAGTAATTGATGGTCCCACCTGCTCCTCGTGACTCCAAATCCACGCTCTGCACAATCAACTCAATACCAGTTATGGATAAACTACTCGCGACTGGATCGACATGTTTGTTTCGCAGATTCTTACGACGATGAATGAAACTGGTAAAGGCTGCTCATGTCCGCATTTGATTCTCACAATTTTAAGATAAGAAAAACACCAGATGATACATTGAACTCCTAAAATACTGGGAAGAGTTACGGTCCAAGAGATTCTATCACCTTGCTTGCCATAAGACGTCGCCATTGCGATGTGTCTGCAATTCTCTTATCCCTTGCAAGCTGCCGACCTGAAGAGGTTATTCCTTCCTTCAAGAAATACCCGTGCTGCGGATCATCTCGAACTAATAAATTTGAGTAAAAGGACTAAGTTGACATCCGCCATATTCTACAAACAGCAAGGATAATGCAAACTCTCAACTCAAAACACTCTCCGCCTTAAATACTCGCTATCTTAGAAATTAGTACTCCATCAGACACTCCATGTTATTTGAGTAACCCATAAAAACAAAAATATTGATCTCCCCTACGTCATCCCCCAGGTGGGTCCAGACGCTCATCCCCAGATGCCACTGAAAACTGATAGCAAGCTCCTCCACACTGCACAGACTTGTCTGCCTATCTCTTGGGTAGCAGGTTTCCAGACAAAGCCAGCCACTCCATCCTACACATACATGCCTCCTATTTCTGACCTAAAACCTCAGCTACACACACACTTTGGTTTGACAAGACATCCCCATGATTCACTTCCAAAGGATGTGTTGTGGATGAGGGTTAGGCAAGGAAGGGCACTGGGTTTTGCACCTTTGCTCCACACCACTTGTATGTGAACAATGAGCATTGGAAAAGCCCCTCTTTTCGTTGGTTTACGTCAAGTTAGGCAATAAAAACCTCTTTGCCTTGTCTCTCTTTGACCTCAATTGACATAGCATTTTTTTTGTGTTTTTTTGTGTTTTGTGTTTTGTGTTTTGTGTTTTTTTTTTTTTTTTTAACAAGGTGAACTTTTTTATAAATATATGGACATCAAACAAAGAATAACCATATTAATGCCTTTGGTCAAGGGAATGAATAAAACCCCAATTTTTAGCTATATTTTTTCTTTTCTCACTTTGAGTCTTTTCTATTTTATCTTTCTTTTTTAAAATCTTTAAACAAAATTTAGTTATTATTTTTAACTTCAGTATCTTTAATTTGAGCTATCAAACTAGTTATTGATAATTGTAGGATGTTGTCAATAATTACAACCTAATACAAATATTTACAACTTGTACCCTCATTATTATTGATATAACTTCTAATTTAAGCATATTTATATAATTATATATTTTTAGTATTTTGAAATTATTATTTTTAATATTTTATACTTATTGGTTATTTATGGTTGTAATAATAAAATATAATATTTCTTTATTAGATACAAATATTAAATATTTATTGAATTTTATAAAATTTTATAACATTCTTCATATATATTAAAATAAATATTTAAAAAATCTAACAAAAAATCTTATAATTTAAAAATATTGATAATAATAATCATATTATTATATTTTTATAGATTTTATGTACATAAATGTATAACTTTTAGAATATATTTATTTTTATTACATTGCATGTATAAATTTATATTAAAATATAAATATATTGTGATTTAAAAAAATACATAAAACCATTCTTATTTTACATGTACTATAAGCTTAATTAAAAATCAGTTTTTTTGTTCAAATTTATTTTATAAATATATACTTATATTTTTACTTTATATTTTTAAAAAATCATTTTAAAATATAGATAAGATACTACTAATGCTAACATAGTTTTTGCTAGTGCTACTACAACTTGCTACCCACTTGACATCTTTTATAAGTTTTATTTATTTCTTCTAATCAAAATACAAATATTTATTAAATAATTTGAAAGATATTGAATATAAAGGTCGCATGTGGTAGATGAGAGAATAAAAGTAAGTATTTTATATAATATCTTATGAAAAAAATGCTTAAAAATTTATAGATGTGGATTTGATTTTATATGTATATGAAGGTGATTGAAAGATTGAGAATTTGGCAAGCATGTTGGCCATGAATTGTACATGTTAGTTATTTGTAGTACAATTTGGCCATGTAGTGCACATATAGAAAACTTGCCATGTAAATTAGATACATGTCTTGCAAGTTGAACATGTGTCAAATGTCATATTGAAATAAGACTAATGACTTCAAAGGCATTGATAATAGTGAAGAAGGCTTTATTCTTGCCTTCATATATACTATCTAACTAAGAAGTATATGACAACGTTCTATAAGGCCTTTCACACATGTCTAATTTGTGAGACATATGTCTTAACTTATAAAGAAATTTTTATATATATACACCACTTGATTAGCTTGAACCACAAGCTATCAACATATGCAACACATGACTAACTTATTGGCCAAGTTTCTAATCTACTAATCAACTACAAATATCTATAAAGTCAAATATGCATCTTTGAAGCTTTTAAGAAGCATTATCGTAAGAAAATATTAAACTTAGTTATATTTATCTTATATCTAATATTTTTTATTTAAATAAATATATATGTTTGTGACATTATTCCATTTTCTTAAACTTGATATATCTATTATCTTGTATGGTGTAAGAAGAGACATGTGAAATACAAGATGGATCTTCATAGATTTTATTTGATGTAATTGATATGCAATTAGATTGATTTGTTCACAAATAGGAAATGATTCAAGTCTACAATAATTCAACTAATTACAATTACAAATAATCTTTATATTATAACAAATTAATTATATTTTATTACTAATATAAAATTTATGTTGTTCCTTGCAATATGCATCTATATTAATTTTTTGTCATTCTTGAGATTCTTTTAGTTGTGTCTTCATTGTTATATATAACTTTGACAAATGATTTATGAAATCTTTTACGGCAAGTTTATTAATTTTTTAAAATTCAAAATATTAAATTATGGATGATAACCATAATTGATAAAAAAAAAGATGACTATTAAATAAAAAAATGTATTACATTATTATAAGCAAATTTTACCAATAGCAAAAAGATTGTCCAATCATCTTGTTGATAGTTGATGATATATCTCAAATATTGCTTCAAAATTTAATTCAATTATTCTATTTGTTTCTTAGTTTAAGGAAAAAAAGCCAAAAGAAGATTTATGTCTACTTTTAGAATCTTGAAAAGGATTTTTTAAAATATTGATACAAATTGAATCCTTCTATCTAATATGATATCTTTAAATAATCTATGATAGCAATAGATATTTTCATGGAAAAGCTTAGATATTTTTTATCTATAATATATTTTGTATATATTATAAAATATGCTATTTTAGAAAAATATTCTACTATCAAAAATATAGAATCACATGAATATAAGATTCAAAGTTCTATAATAAAATTTATAGAAACAAATGATTATATTTATTCTAGAATAGATAAATACTGAAGAAGTCCATAAGATCAACAATGAGAAGTTTTTGATTTTGAACAAATGTCACATGATTGTATAAAGTCTTTGATTGCCTTCCGCATTTGAAGCCACCAAAAATCTCTAAATATTAGCTATAAAATCTTAATAAATCTAAAATATTTGATTATTAGAAAGTCATAATAAGCTTAAATAACACATAATTGTGCTTCACTTTTTGGAACATATAAGCAACCTTTAAAATAAATAATATATATTTTTTAAATTCAAATTTAAAAGTATTAGGAGATTTAGAAAATTTATTTTTAAAATTATGAATAATAAAATTAAAAGACATAATTAATTGAATTGCTTAAAAAATATTGAATCAATAATAAATGTTGATTTTGAGGCTCAAAGATGAAAATACTTTGGCTTTAAGATAATCATTTTTTATTGTTCAAAAGCTATATGTCTTTTATTTGATACAAGATAAAGGTATCTAGAAATAACTTCTAACAAATTTTATTGCTTTCTTGCTTGAAAAGTGATCTTGAAATCAAATATTGATAAAGATATATTCTAGTGGCTTTGGTGATAATTTAAAATATATATATATATATATATATATATATATATATATATTGACATGAAATATTTGAGGTTCTTGTGATTCATATATACAATGACTAGATTGGAAGTACTTTCTAAATAATTATACTATTTTTGAAATAAATTCACAATTCTAAGAAGCTCTTTGTTGTCAATTTCATAGTTGATCTTAGCTATTTTTTTTGAAATAGAAAGCTATTGGATTGAATTTATCATTTATTCTTACTAATAATAATACTTATCTTAAAGAAAAATTTGATATGTTTGTTTTTATAAAAAATGCCTTGAAGAAGTCAATGTAATATAAGATTGATACAAAAATAAAAGTTATTTTTAAAGCTTCAAAAGATATTTCAGCTTCTTTATTTTATTCAAGTTTATCTTTACATATAAGATATGTACGAAGAGTTGTAACTTGAAAAAAAATTCTTAATAAAGATTTGATGGTAATTGATAAATTTTAAAAAATATTAGATATCTTTTATTATTTTTGGGACCTTTTAATCTATGATAGTCTGAACTTTCTTAGGATCCATCACAAGGCCATCATTTGAAATGTTGTATTCTAAGAAATTGACTTGAGTAGTGTGAAATACACACTTTTTTATTTTGACATAGAATTTTTTATCTTTAAATTTTTATAATAAATAGTAAATATGAAGCTCATGCTCTTTTATATTCTTAGAGTAGATTAAAATATCATTTAGATAATAGATAAGAAAATCATAAAGAAAATCACAAAAATCATCATTTATTAGATGTTAAAAAAACAATTGGTACATTTGTGAGTTCAAAAGGTATGACATCATATTTGAAATATTTATATTTGTTTCAAAACATAATCTTTTATTCATTTCCTTCTTTAATGCATACCAAGTTGTATGCTTCTCATAGATCTATTATTGTATAGATCTTTGCTTGATTGAATTGATAAAAAAGTCTTAAAAACAAGGATAAAGGATATATATTCTTGATAGTAATCTTCTTGAATCTTCAATAATCTAAAAACATTTGTAATGATTCATCTTTTTTCTTTATAAATAAGATAAGATTAATGCTAGAAATTATGAATGGTATATGAAGTTTTTAATTAAGTTGTTGTTAATGTATTCTTTAAGTATAATCAACTCATTTTATAATAAGCTATAGATTGGTTCAAATGGTCATTGAGCTTATTCTTGAAGATCAATTTAATAATCATATGGACAATGTTCTAAAAGAATATCTACATTCTTTGTTTCAAAAATATCTTGATAATCTTTGTATTGACTTGGAATGCCAATTATAGTCTTTCTACTATCAAAAATAAATGTGGCATATATAAAAAAAGGTGACTTTTCTTTTGGCACATGCATAAAAGCCTTTACACATACCAATAAGGATTTGATTGTATTAAATTTATGGATTTTTATTAGATAAATAAAATTTTAGATTAAACTATAGAAAAAATAAAGATGATAAAAAATCTAGTCTATCTAAAAATTATACTTCTCTAGCTATAATAATCCTAAATGATTAGGTTGGTAAGAAATCAAAATCATATTAAATATTATTAAACTATTATTACTATTAATTTTTAAATCTAAAAAAATAATTTGATAGGTAACATCTCCAAAAGACAATAAATATGTACATCTCTAAAAGACAATAAAGAAAATCAAATCTGATGTTTGTATATATGGATTTGATTTTCTTGATTAATAATATTTCTTATTTTTTTAACAAAAACTTCATCTATAAAACAAGTTGAGGTTCTTGA